GTGATTTTCACTACCCCCCCCCCCCCCCCCCAAATTCAAGGAACTACTATGTCATAGACTACTCCTACTGCATAATTAAATGGCTGAGTACAGCAAAGAAAAAATATTTATTCTAGTCTTGAGAAAAGAGATTAGAGGCTTCCCTTCAAAAATTTTTCAAAAGTCTTTACAGAAACATATTTTTAAATACATCCACATTTTCTCCAATATGCACATAATACACAGTTTAGTATTTCATTTACTGAAAAACAAGATGATTAAAACCAAGATGAGGTAAATGTATTCATTTACTAGGTATTTTCTTCTTTCCTGATTATCAAAAGTCATCACTCATTTTAATACTGTTTATGTTTAAAATAGGGCATAATACCTTTTAAAGAGCAGACTGACCATTTATAAGTATACAGCTCAAGAAATTTCACCTGTTGTTGACTATTGTCTCAAATTCCAGGTATATTTCTGGAGGAAAAATAGGCACTTAAGAGTATGAAATTTGTCTGGATCTACTTTTATGCTCACTTTAGGTAGGAATCCTACCCTTTCTTTGTGTCTACCTTGGAAGCAGCAATTATGTCAATATCTGGAGAAAATTTGTAGGGGAAAAAAGCCATCCTGACCTATTGTGAAAACAAGGCTGAAGAGATCTTTTATTTTTTGTCTTTTCCTATACACTATCTTTCCGATACTGTCTAAATGGTTTTCACTAGCTAGCTTTTGAAACACAAATATGAGAGATTAGGTACATCTTTCTTCTTGAAAACTGTGCATGAATGGTTCAGTTTATGCACATGCTGCCCTTCATGAGTTTAAGGCTTGGCTGAAATGTGTTCGGTGTTTGTAGCATTGAAGGCAAAGCAGACCGAGATAAGCTTTCAGTTTCTACAATTATTTCACAATCTGCCTGATCTTTCAGAAAGCCCTGTGACTGAAGAGTTGATAGGATCAGTGTTCTGCTGGCTGAGGAAGAGACCCCAAAGGAATGGCCATAAATTAGACCATGGGTCCATCGAGTTCAATATCCTGCCTCCAACAGTAGCCAAAAGTGTATTTCTAGAAAAGGAGTAAGTTTTCTCCAAGTTTTCATTTAATCTCAGTTCTTCATATTGGAACTTCGCACAATCTTTTATGGTTAGGTCAATGAAGTAATTTCAGGAAAAGGACAAACTTTACTTTAAACTGATATTTTTCAGGATGTCAATGAAGAGAAAAATACTGGTGTGATGTACTTGTAGTATCTCATTGTGCTGGAATGATCTATTGCAGTATTTTTTGTCTTCACAAAATCATTAGTTTTTTAAAAAATAACGCTGCCAGGACAATATGCAGTAATTATTAGACTTGTGGGTTCACCAAGATCAACTGCCAATAACAAAGTGACAAATTTCAGTTCCTAAGTTTCATACATCACAGTGAAAACTGCATGCTGGTTTCATTTCTCAAGGTAATCATGTTTCTTTGGGCAGGCTTGCCAGAGTCTGTATCCTTATGAAGCAGAGAATGGAAGAGCTAAGAATAGATTACACAGATCTGTCACATGGATTTTTCACAGATGAGTCAAAGATTAAAGTTGACTTTAGTCTGCAAGGAAGACTAATACAGGTTTGTGTATGAACTTTTCATATTTTCATGAAACCATGGATTTACTGCAAACACAAGCTGTGCATTTTCTAATTAAATACTTGGAAGTGTTGTCCTTCAGTTGTGCTATATATTAAAAGGATAGTGCACATGAATGTTAAATAGAAATGCATAAATTAAAAGAAAAATTAAAAAAATGTACTTTACATAATAGATGAGATGGATCCAAGTTTGATAGTTACATTTTACCTACCTGAAACAATGGAAAACATTTAACAAAAAGGAGTGCTCAGCTCTTAGAGAATTGCTATATAGCATTTTTAGCAGCTGCTAATACAGAGATTCTTCTTTGAAACAGTTCTGCTTTAGCAGATATGGAAGCAATCCCTTTACATTAATTTCCTTATCAGTTAAATCTGTAAAATCATTGGGGAACACTATGAAAAATTCACTACAAGGGGGACAATGTTTCATTGAAAAAAAATTTCAGAAAACACAGGATTAGGTCTTGCAGTGTATGAAAACATAATACAACTGAGAGCTGAGCAGCTCACAACCCTGGAGAATGTTTCTGCTCAGTTTTAGAAGTAAACTGTCCAATGTCAGTCAGTTTCTGGCAATCTGGATACGAGAGAGAACAATATATACAGAAGTCAGGCCATTGGTACCAGTTGGCTTACTTTTCAAACCATACGTGAATTTTTCAAGAAACTAACCCCTAGTAATAAAGATGGAAAAGACTTCAAGAGTTAGTTTAGCTTAAGACTGGAAATCTTGAAGTAGTAGCAAAGACAAATTACAAATTCATTTTGGGAAGTGTGCTTTTGAGCCGACAAGCTCACACAACAAAATAATACTATTCAAACTAAATTAAAAGATCAAAAACTTTTACTTACCTGGAGACCTCATTATTATTATTATAACCTCTGGGTCCCAATTATATGTATCCATCTTGCTAAAGGGTACTACTCTACAGTTAGTCAAATGACAACTGCATTAGCTACCAAGACAATACCCTTTTGATTATGTTTTATGAGGCGACTTTTGAGCTGTAATTTCTATTATACAGAGCTCTGTAGCAAAGAATAAGCTTGGGCAATTTTATCATAATTCTAATAGCAACCAGAGTAAATACTACAAGGGGCTGAATCAGGAGGGGTGGGAAATGGCTTTAGGAAGCTCAAGACTGTCTCTAAATTCACTTTGGACAGAAAAGTACACATAAAAGGCAACATGGAAACCATTTCAGCAAGCTCAAAAGGTAACCTACCTTGGAACTCATGGCTTCACAAAGAGATGAAGTATTTTAGGTGAACTTAAATGGCAGAAGAATAACGACATTATGCTCTGGGATTGGAAAATTATGCCAGTTTGCTCAAGGAATATACCACGAACTTGCCTTTCAACCCCCTATCTCAGGTACAGTAATAACCTTTCTACATACATTCTCCCAGAAATAAAGCTACAGACATATTATTGTTGTAAGGTAAACAACTTTGACTTTGGAGACTTCACAGGCACTATCTGCAGTAGACTTAAAAAAAAAAAAAACAAAACAAAACCACCCAACAACAGAAAAAAACCACAAACTTCAAAGATAAATAAGTGGTTTGTAAGAACCAGAAAAACCCTCATGTCCTCATGTTTCCCTGACTCCAGCTTCACAATATGGAGAACATAATGGAGGACAAAAGCGAGAAGGGATAAAGAAGAGCTGCATCAGTAGAAAGAGTAGTGTCTGTAGCCCCTACTACAGGTTGCAATCAGTTATGTTCCTTCCTTCTGTGTTTTTCTGGACACCTTTTCTCAAAAAAAAGTTTATTAGAAGCAGTAAAGAAAACAAGTAAGGTTACATCAATGAAGTGTTTTCACATGAGGAGATACTGAAACCAACCTAGATCCTAGACCATTCTGGATAAGGGAGGAGCAAGAAAGAAGGGGTGACAGAAAGATTAGAGTCCCATACTGAGCATAGAAAAAGTGAACTTGGAACAGTTACTCACCGTTTTTCACAATAAAGAAGTTCAGTGAAATAACTTAAATATACATTAAACAGTACTTCTTAAATATATGGCAAGCTTTATGGTTTTGTTTTCTTTTGAGTTTTTTGTTTGTTTGTTTTTGAAAGAACAGTTAGAGCAGACTGCTACAGAAGCAAGTTTATTTCATTTGTTTCTTATATTCTTTCAGTAGGTAGAAAAACTTTGGTCCTGTCCAGGAATGATTCTCCTCGGTGCTACAGAAATTAAACCATGAACAACAAAAGACAGTGCTTTAGCTAAAAGTGAAAACTGAATCATGTTCATACCTAATCAATTTCAATTGGTAAAGAGAAAAACTATCAAAATTATAAGATTTGAAAGGTAGTTCTGCCTTGCCTTAAAATTCTTGTAATAGATTACAAGTAAAACTGAAAATTCAAGTGTGAACTGAAGTACATGTAGCAGTAAATGAATGGAGATTTTCAGTGCACTGCTTCACCGCCACAGTGCAAATTGGGGTTTTTGTGTTTGGGTTTTTTGTTTTTGTTGTTGGTTGGTTTTTTTTTTTGTTGTTTTTTTTTTTTAATTAAAGTTCTGGAAGAGTATCACAATAGTGATAGACTTACAAGTACACTGAAGATGGAAAAAATATTAGAGAGAAAATATTAAATTCAAATGCATCAAAACATTCAGTTTCGATGAACACTGGAAAATAAGAGGTGTAAGAGAAAAAAGCTCACACTAGCAAAAAGCAGTCTCCCCAAAGAGCTATATATTCTTAGAAGTTCTGCTAGAATAACCTCCTCTTTAAACTGTATGAAAGTCAACTAGTTTTCACATTGTAATATTATAATTGCATAGAACAAGCTGCAAACTAATCTTTTCCTTCAAAATGACTACTCGTAACAGAAGGCTTTTGATTGCAGAAATTGTAACTTGGCGAAGCTGAGACTACTTTTGGTTATCTGTATCATTTTTTGATCAGCTTTTGACATTTCAGTGGAGAAATGAATATACAGACAGATGTAGACCGCTGCAAGTAAAATATGGCTTTCCAACTGATCATAGACATTCCTATATCTAGGAATTAGCCACAGTCTTAAATTTCTATTTACCTCACTTTTAGCAAACAATAAAAATATACAAAGCCCCTGAGAGTATATCTATGGGTGTACTGATATAGAGTAGAAACCTATATTACATCAATTAAGTAACAATCTTCTATAGAATTGAATGCCTAGAAAACAATACATAAGCCCCCCAAGGTCAAAGAAAATTAAAAAAATATGGAAAAAAAACCCAAACATTTGCAAATAGCTGAACAGGTTTCCATGAATATCTTATCTTTCTATTGTACTTTTTACTCAAACACTTTAAAACACTTTAGAAAAAAATTCCATACAGTTCATGAAATCCTTCAATCCTAATCGCAGTCTTGGTAACAAAACGTGCTACTCAAGATACTGTAATTCCATCTGAGCCTCTTGTTGCAATTAAAGCTTTGTTGCGTTCTCAATGTGCATAATTAGGCACAATTCACTGCATAAATTACTGCACTCTACCAGAAAAGCTTCTGTCAGTAACATTTTTGGGGAGCAACACGCATTCAGAATTTAGAATATTCACATCAGGCTACTATTTGTCACAGTTCAGTTTTTCAGGTCTGTGCTCCAGTATCTTCTGTGCTTTATCAGCTTTTTTTCTTTAATATTCTCAAAAGATTGAGCAAACACACACATGAGTTTAGTAGCATGGAAGAAGCATGTAGATAATGCATTAGCAGTATCTTTACCTAAGTTAAGGTTTGTATATGGTAATTTGTTCACATGTTTTTGTAGTCTATTCAGCAATACCTGATTTATCAAAACTATTTCAGCTGTTTTACCACAGCTCAGTGCCATCAGGATGTGTATCCCAACAACTGGGAAAAAAGTACATTCCCGGAGAGCTTTATTTATTTTACATATGTTAATTTTGCATACAAAACAAGCCTTACCCAGCTCTAGTTGTTTTATATTCCACCTTAAGGATAGGCTTGCAGGGTTCTGGCTTCTTTCCATCCTTCAGTTGCTTTCCTAAAGTGAATTATTTTCTTACATTAATCTTACAGTTCCACAACATGATAACAAATTACGAAACTCACTATGCAACTTGCAAAGTAGAACATTCATACAAACATATATTCAACACCTCTGACAATTATAGAGTATGCCTTGGAGTAATATCATTAAATATTTGTTAAAACTCTCAATACACCAACCTAGAATATTTAGGTTTAGAGCTTTTTTGTGTGTGTGTGTTTTAGGTTTTTTTTTTTGTTTTTGTTTTTTTTAAAGCATTGTAGAATATTTATTTTCAAAAATATAATCCTCCCCTAAAAAAGTTGTTTTGAGTAGCACCGGGAAATTTATAATTTCTCATGTCTACGGTTTTGCAATTAAAATTGGTCAGCTTACAAGTAAAATGAAGTTTATTCTGAGTGTTATCCATAAGGGCCAAGACCTGAATTTGAACATGAAGGCCCACTTTTTACTGTGCATTATTAGCAACTAAAGCTTTTACAGATACAGTTTCCCATGGGGCCAAAGGTAGTCTTGTCTAACTAGTTTTACTACTACAGTAGGAGTCAGTTTTTTATTTTTTTTGACTGCTACAGGATCATATAGAAATCCACAGCTTCCTTTTTCCACTCTAGTCCACACCCAGCACAGTAAACATGGACTTTCTGGAGGCTCATACAGGTAAACCAGGATGCTTAACTATAACATCTTGTATTACAACTGTAACCTCACAGATTATCCTCACTGTTACATTCACATTTAAGAATCTAAGGTAAATAACTTGCTAAGTCATGACTTAGACACATGCACATCATATAAGCCTGGCATTTGTATAGAACTTTTTTTGAAGAGCAGCAGCATATTTCCCAGAAGAACAACATGTAATGTTCATTTCCTAGATTAACATTAATGCAAGACTTCTGAGAAGTGGAAACATCTTACCAGATGCTAGTCTTACTCTGTTACAAACCTTTCCAAGAATTTATATGGTAATCTACACATTTATACATGAAGCAGATGCTTGCTTATATGTATTTTAAACAACATATGGGATTATAATGTCAGGCAAAAAGTAAGCCCTACAAAATATGTATTTGTTAATTTTGAGATCAATGCCATTGTGTGAAAGGCCAGCTTAAAGTTCAGAGATTTAGACAAAACTGCACTGATTTGTATTCTTATTTCATAAAGACTGTCCATTTTTTTTTTTTTTAACAAAATCTATCAGAATTTGATATGGCAGAAAGTTTTTACTTGCATTGCAAGTGCATTTTTAATACTTGGTTTTGCAAAACACACTTCTATTAAAAATAAGTTCTGTGTTTTAAGAGCTGTCAAAAACAGTGGGTATCCATTTTCATCTTACCATGTGGAGTGATTGTCTGGAATGGTTTGGTAGGAGATTTTACATTCCATATGGTCAAGGTACCATCTGAGTGACTACAAATAAATTGTTTTCCTTCATGATGCCAAGCCACAGAGTGAATAGCCTATGCAAGAAAAGAGAAAAAACAGAACGGTGTACGTAGAGTATCCTAGTATCATTTTAACCTTACTCCTTCCTCAGTGACATTAGACAGCAAAAGGAAATTAAAGAAAGTACTAATTAAATTATACTGCTCTTAGTATGTCCTAATTCACCCATAGTAAATTTTCCGTTCATAAGTACTTCTTTCAGACATAGTTCATCCATCAAAAATACTGTCTTCATTGCAGTAACATGTTTAAGGGAAAAAAAAAATCCTCCTCAGAGTACATTATTAAAGTATTTTCCAAAAATGAGTAGCATGCAGAGAATAAATGCAAGCACTTATTTGAGCTTTGCTAACCAAAATTTTTTATTATTGGAAAAATACACTGTCCATACAAAAAATACCTACTTGATGGGATTATTAAGTCAAAGTTCTAAATGGCATTTTGAGATGTCTATGTTGATATGCACAAGAAGCAAGCATGGGCTGAGAACATAAGTAAAATGAGAACTGAAGTAACGATAAGATTTTTTGGAAATGATGATGAAAACAAAATATTAGCTTGAATAAGCGTTCTAATGTTGCAATGACAGTTCTGAGGTAGAGGAAAGCATGGAAATCTACTAGTAAATCTTTCCATGAATACAGAATCATCTTTATATTCATAAAATTAGGAATGCAATGATTAAGCCATGCCGCATGAAATCTTACTGCAGAAAAAGAGATGGCTAAATGAAATCTAGTTGCTGCCTTAAGGTGAGAGAAAAAGTAAACAATGAAGCAAAGAGTACAAATAAGGCAAAGAGATTAGCTAGCAAAAGATTGGTGCCATTTCTGTTTCAGCCTCTCTATTAGTACATGGAGACATTATGAAACCATTAGGTGATGTTCAAGGGAATTTTAGTTATAGCATGAAAATATCAACAAACAATGAAAATCTAAAGTATTTCTCTACTACCCAAATGGTGCAGAAGAAAGTATTACCTGCTAGAAATATGGAACTTTGATATTACTGAGAAGGTAGATTTGCTTAATACTTATGGTAAAGACTTACTCTAGGTAAACTGAAAGCAGGACCTGAATATGCGAATGCTGATGGGCTGTACAATACCATTTTTTGAGTGGATACCTTCAGTAGGGATTCTGTCTGTAAGCAGGCCTTAGATTCACTCCAACTCCTCAGGGATTTCCTCTGTGAGGAAACCTGGGTGTGCGAGTAGTAGGGAACCCTAACTAGCAGTGAACTAGCTTAGGCAGTAAATTACTAGGCGAAGAGCAAATCACACAAGACAAATCTAAGCTAGCTTTGCCTAAGCTGATTATACACAGATCAGATCTTCACATTTCCTAAAATTATACAGAAAAACAAGGCAGTTTCCAGCATTACGACTGGGAGACTCCAGATATTAAACGACTGACAGAGGAAAATGACTACACTACATGATTGTGGAGTCTCCAGTTACAACTTCTCCGACTTAAAGTAGTAGAAGATCTGGATATCTGTAAACTACAGATTAATTAAGTTTAGTATTTCTTAGTGAAATTTAATCTTGTTCCCTATGTAGTGTGGAATCACTACAGATTTTGTTTGAAGGTAGATTCAGTGTACCAATATCACATCTACATATATGTAGCTCAGAAACCTAGACATCTCACATGAAGTCTCTTAGAGTCAAAGTGAAATAGTCTTGCTCATTCTATCCATAAGATAAATTTTTATTTAGCAAATAAAAGCAGGTATTATAAAAGAAATTTTGCATAAATATTGAAGATTTGTTTTCATTTACCAATGTAGTACCAAAGTCAGGGATCAGCAAGTCTGAAAGTGCACTCGGTAAAGCAAAGGTTGCATTTCAAAAAGCTCTTTTCACTAAGAAAAAAGTTATTTATACTATGATTAGCAATACAATGTAATAAGTATCTTGTAAATAATCCCCCATGTGGAGTCTAACCCTGACAACAGTAAGGAGCACATAGTGTAAATGGAACAGTTTTTTATACATGTTTATGTAGAAATAGGTCTTAAGAACCACTAAGAAAGTAAGCTTTATAGAAGGAAGGATAAATCTGAGAAATGAACACTTTTTCCTTTTCTTGAAAAAGAAGGTCAAGAGGAAAGGAGTGCAACAACCCATTACTGTTGAAATGGCATTAATGCTTATGAACATAAGATCTGATAAACTGAGCACAAAGGAGAAGGATGACTGCTATCACTTAATTTCTGCAAGGAACCTGATGTGATGGAAATAAAAAAGAGACTAATGAGGCCTTTGGCTTTATGGCTATTTATTGTCTAGTTTTATAGAGCATCTTGTTACATTTAGCAATGCAGCTAAGTATTATTAAAAGCATAACAACAATACATGTTTTGTGTATTTTTAAAACAATCCAACTAACAATTCTGTGGGGTGAGTATGACAAACTTTGGTACAGTGCACTATCCTTTGCTGTTACATAATTCACAACTTTTTGTAAGCCTGAAAAATAAAACCAGACCTGTAAGTAGCTATAGCATAATCTCTAGGTATATAACAGTCTAGTATATCTGCAGTGACAAGTGTGTTACAATGAAAGAAGTACAGTAACTTTAGGTGGCACTAGTTGGTTGGTATCAATAGCCTCAATCACCAAAACAAAACTGATAACTGAAAAATCATCCCAATACTCAAGAGGAAAAGTTTTGACTTTTTTCCATGGTTAATATTTATGCTAGAATTTGAAGGAAAGCAAAACATCCAAGATAGAAAAATCAGGCAGAATGCACTGAGGCTGCAAATCTGTACGTAGCTTCTTAGACACTAAAAAGCCCCTAGGAGTAATAAATTTTTTTCCCAGTACTGTACAAAAAAACCTTAGTGATCCAGAATAAAACTCAAAGCTTTAATCATAATTCCCATCTTGATTTAAAACTTCACCTGGTACCCTTTTGGTACCATAATGCAGCAGTATGCTTAAATCAGCTGGTACTGATTCAGCTGTGTCTCAAATATTTTTGTGGAATACATCACTGGTCATATGCATCCCAAACAGACAGTAATCCCTTCTGACAAGATCACGCACTAGTACCACAGAGGACTGTTGCTATATTTAAGGCACAAGGTGTTTGTATCCTTAAAGAGGAGCTGTCTGCACAGATAACCCAAGTCCTGACCTTACTAACATTCTGAATCCTTCCATTTACAAACATGCACCGAATACAGGGAATCTTTATATGAACTTACATAGAGAATACTCTACTAAAAAAACCAAACCCTTTATCTAAATAAATCTTTAAATTTACTTAATTTTAACTAAAGGTTTCTTATTAAAAGTACTCCTACTACCCCCTTCACTTTGATTCGAAGTTAAGGTAGCTGCTTTGGACTATATGGAAGTTTGTTTCAAAACTTCTGAGACAGTTATATGGTTTGGGGGGGGTATCAAATCTTACTGTTTCGAATAATAAACCCAGCATGACTGACTGCACTGTCCTACATATGCCAAAAACTGAACCAGAAACGTAGAAACTAACCATCCTAGAGTATTATGTGGAGAGAGGCTGTGCACAAAGGAAGCCTCACTTTCACCAGCTGTTCCAGAAGGATTATCCCATGTGGAAAAGTGACTGCTATATTGCCTGCATAGAAGGTGAATATATCTGATTTTCAGAAGGAAACATTCTTGCAGTGACAGCAACAGTTACCTGAGGGAGACTGTAGGACTGTGAAGTGCAATCACAAATAAGAAACTGAAGAAGTCTCAGGAAGAAAATTAAGAGCATTTATATGCAAGTCTCCTACAGAAGTATTTTAAGTAGATCACTAGCTTTTAAAGAGATCAACGTATGTTTAAAAACATTTATGAAAAATTGAGTTTTACTGCTGCAATAGCCTGTCAATATCCCTAGAAATCACTATTATTTCTTGATTCTTTGAAGAGGTACAAAAATTCTAAAATACAACCTCACAATTTAAGAGACAAGTTCATCAATAAAGACTCAAGTTTTGATTGTGTTTTTCCACCAAGGGGATTTAACTGTTTCAATTCATAAAATACATATACAAAAAATCCCTTTCTTTTCAATTCCTACAGACTTATTTTAATCCTACAGCTAAGGATACGAAGAACAGTCTCAAACTGTTCTGAAATAGTATCCTATTTTCCTACAAGACACATGCAAAAATTTGCTACTTTGGTGTGAATATAAAAATTATTAATTTAAGCAGTTTCCCCTGTTTCTAAGAGACTTTTTTAATCCATTTTTCTAATACCAAGTTTAGACTACAGCAAATACAGTTGCTACAACTCAAAAGAAAAAATCTAGAGTAAACTGGCTTTTTTTTTTTTTTTTTTAAATAATATGCACCTCCTTGCTTGCTTTTCAAGTGTAACACAATCTTTGGCAAATGTTTCTGCACATTCCACAGGAATGCACCAGAATCATGAAGAATTCCTTTCATCATTCTTTGGATTTGACCATGATCCTTTAGTCTTTTGTGCCATTAATTGAGCTTGAAATAAACTGTGTATGATTGGTACGGTCCACGATATGAGATGAGTTATTCTGCAAACCAGACTGTTTACCATAGCCTATTCAGATTTTACTGTCATAAGACAGTCCTCCATTTCCATAGACAGTATTTTCTAGTAAACTTGAATGGATGATGACTTCTTTTCTACAGGTTTACCAAAATACTCAAAGCAAGCATAGCAACTTTGGCGTACCTATGCTAACTCTCTTGTCAACAGCCTAAGAAAGAAAGGGAAAAAACGCTGCAAAAGAAAGAAAAAAATAAAATAATGTAGCTGCTGAGACTTACATGGCAATATATCATTAAGATTGTTTTGATGCAATGAAATCTGCTAGTGCCTAATGACTGCATTGACATGCTTTGGTTTCTGGTAAGTCACATATCAGGGTTGTTCCCCCCCCCCCCCCCCCCTTCATCTCACAGGCTACTTTGACGTGATTTTAGTGCTGTAAAATAATCTCTTACACTCAGCCATGTACCAGAACATTGAGCTTAAAAATAGTAATC